CAAGGCAGGCTTAGCCTGGCCTCGCACGCCAGCGTGGCGACGGAGACGCAAGGCTGGGGGGACCGCGGGCGGCGGCGGCTAGGGTTTCGCCCTGCCGCTCGTGGGAGCGGGCGGGGCAAAGGGGATGCATAAGGAGCCAACTAACAGATTCCAAGTTGGGCAACACCAGAATCATGCAATGTACCACTAATTATCAACCGAAACGGGGATATAATCAAACGAAATCGCATAACTGAGCAGCACAAACCTCGCAAATTCACACAATACGCATGCGGCTCAGCCGAATACCCATCGGATCTGCATAAATGGCACAAAATCCAGACGAATCGCGCGACAGCGAACCAACCCAAACCTAACATGCGTCGCGCCACACCGGAGGAGAGGCATGGCGAAGGGTTCGAATCAGGTACCTCCACGGAGCAGCTGCGCCTCCCACGGAGCACGACCTTGTCGAGGCCGCCGGGGGCCCTAATATACTCCAGGAAGGGCGATGAAAGCTGTTGCGGCGGCGGCGAGTGGGGTGTGGCTGCGGCCATCGCGTTACGCGCCCAAGCGACGGCGTCTTAGCTAGAGCCCTCAAAAACTAAAAATAACTGTTTTTTTACAGTTTTCATCGAAAAAAAGCCATAGACTAGAACTCTTTAACTCTTAAACCCTCAATTTTTTTGAAGGTCCAACCCTCAAACCTTCTCTCAATCCTCAAAAATAAGGGTTGGGAAGCAAAACCTACCCCAACTCTCATTTGGCGGTTATACTCGCGCGGGAGGGAAAAATCCTCCCAACTCCCGCGTCCACACCCGCGACCGCCGCTGCTAGTCGCCCCCGTCGCCGGCGGACGCCCCGTCGACCTCCCGCGTGCAACGACAACGTCGTTCATGGGGAATATTCCGTTATAAGGGTTGGGTTTGAGGGTTCTAATATTTGCCCCTGTTTTTCAACCCGTAAAAGTGCACAAAAAGATTATTTTTTGACCCTTAAAACGCTAGTGAGGGTTTGATAGTTTGAGGGTTCTACTAGTAATGCTCTTAGGAACCCCTAATCCTAGCATGCGCGCTCACCCGCGGACACACCAGTTTTGGGGGTTTATTCGCTGGACGAAGGTGAGGCGTATCTCTACCCCTGTTCCAAAAGTTCCTATCTGTTTAGTTTCTGGTAATAAAAACCGTTACAACTAAAAGTCTCTAAAACTCTTCCTCGGGGTCTTCTTTCATATAAGTTTCAAATGTTCATTTTAAGTCCCTATAAGTCTCTCATGTTTGGTTTAGATGTGTCAGCAGTCCTGTTCATGTTATCTCTGAAGATGCAACACCTGAACCTGAAGTTGAGGACAGAAGGCCTGTAGCCGCTCAGGATCGTGCCGACAAGAGCAAGGCGCCAGTTCCACTAGGCCCAAGGCCCAAGTCCAACCGGCCCAAAAGGCTTCCCTAGTGGCTTGCTAGCCCAAACTGGGCCCGCTGAGCGGGTGTATTGTTAAATAGCTACAGTAGTCCATCGTCTCACTTTGGCTAGGATTTGGACGGCCACGGCCGTGGCTCGATTGTAACGGATAGAGGTGTGGGTGGTTGGGAGGAATCCTCATCCGAATTCAAATTCTTAGCTCGAATCCCCATGAAAATTCCTTCGATCCACTGACCACAAGAGAGATGCTCACATCTGGTAATCAGAGCCTCGTCGACTTGGAGTTGCCGCCCCACCACTACGCGACGCGATTCGGCGAGCGGCGACGGATCCAAGCCATGGAAGAGCTCAACGCCGACAGCCGCACCGTCTACGAACTACTTCGCCATGAGTTCACCAGCGACATGGACAACAAGCTTCGGACTCACGGTGAGTCGCTTCTCAAGTCGATGAGCAAGATGATCGAGGCAAACAACGCGACCCTCGACAGCCTCATGTCGGCGTGGGCGGATGGGATCCGAGACGAAATCGCCCTCGACCTCGAGCAGATCAGGACGGATTTCTACAAGATGGAACCGCCGGATCCGGACCCCAAGGTTGACGGGACCTCTTCGCGCAACGCTGGGCCAGGTCGTAGCGCGGCCGCGACCAGCGCCCTTGGCTTCGACAACGAAAACCGGGGGAAGGCACATAACATCTATGTCCCTCCTCAGGTCAGAGGTGCGCGCGATTCTGTTTTCTCTCCCAGAAATTTTTCTCCTCTTGATCCACATACGATAGATACTGCTGAGTATTCCTCGTTTTCCATGCATCTGGAGATCCCCAAGTTCGATGTGTCAAATCCGAGACTGTGGCAGAACAGATGCGAAGACCAGTTCAAGTTGTGGAGCACGCCTCCTCACAGATGGTTGTCTCTGGCTACAGCTCAATTCGAAGGTGCTGCTGCTCGGTGGCTTGAATCTATGCACAGGCGCATGCCAAATACCAACTGGTCAGAGTTCTGTGCTGCGTTACAGGGTCGTTTTGGGCGAAACCAACACCAAACTCTGCTCAGGAAGCTGTTCCGAATTGCTCAAGCAACTACTGTAGAAGACTATGTTGAACGCTTTGCAGAGTTGTATGATTAGTTGACAGCGTATGAAGATACACCCAACTCCCTGCATTACACCACCCGGTTCTTGGATGGGCTGAAGCCTGGAGTAAGGATGGCGGTGGCACTGCAGAAACCCAAGGATTTAGATGCTGCGTATGAACTAGCTCTGCTCCATGAGGAATTAGGAGAAACGTACTCGTCCACCTCAAGTTCTGCTCCAAGGAAATCGGGCACTGCTTCCAGTTATACCAACTCGAGGGTTCAGAAACAGGATGACAGACGAAGTTCAGACTCTGTCAGTGGTGTAGCTCAGGAAGACAAGTGGACAGCACTTAGAAATTATAGAAAATCCAAGGGCCTGTGTTTTGTGTGTGGAGAGAAATGGTCTAAGGATCATGTGTGCAAGGCCACAGTTCAACTGCATTTTGTTCAAGAGATGATAGAACAATTACAATCCAATCCCACTGAAGATTCTGACTCTGACAGTGAACAGCCTGAACAATCTTCGGGTCATTCCATCAGGTTATCAGCTGCAGCTATGGGAAAGGAACCAGAAGCTCCTGTTTTGCAATTGGAGATTGAATTGCAGGGCCACACCTTTCAGTTTCTAGTTGACTCAGGCAGTACACACTCTTTCTTGGATTTGCAGCACAGTTCATTAGCAGGTGTCAGTCCAATTAAAACAATCACAGTTACAGTAGCTGGTGGTTCAACAATTCAGTGTCAACAACAAATCAAAAATTGTGAGTGGCAGTCCAATGGTGCTAAATTCATTTCAGATTTCAAGTTGTTGCCCTTGCAAACTTATGATGGCATATTGGGGTTGGATTGGCTAGCTCAACACAGTCCCATGTATATTGACTGGGTTGAGAAATTGTTGTCTTTTAACAAGGAGGGACAGATAGTCACTTTACATGGCATTCATTCTGAAGAATGTGCTTACACCTGTGTTGCTATATCTGCACTTCAAACTGAAGGACAACATGTTGTAACTCCAGAAATCCAATTGTTATTAGAAGAATTTGCTGAGGTTTTTGAAACTCCTACTTAGTTACCACCCAGAAGAGAGTGCGACCACAAAATCACTTTAATTCCAGGAGCTAGACCAGTCATAGTTAGACCTTACACGATAGCACCATAGTTAAAGGATGAACTTGAAAAGCAAATTGCAGAAATGTTAAAGTCATGCATCATTAGACCAAGCAAAAGTCATTTTTCTTCTCCAGTGCTTCTAGTTAAGAAAAAGGGAGGGGAATGGAGATTAGTAGTGGACTACAGGATGTTAAATGCTATCATTGTAAAAGGGAATTTCCCAGTACCTGTGATTGATGAGCTTTTGGATGAACTATCTGGTGCTGCTTGGTTCACTAAATTGGATCTCAGGGCTGGTTACCATCAGATCAGATTAGCTGAGGGGGAGGAATATAAAATAGCTTTCCAAACTCATCTTGGCCACTATGAGTTTACTGTTCTGGCCATGGGACTGAGTGAAGCTCCAGGAACATTCCAGGGGGCCTTGAACAACACCTTGTCCCCTGTCAACAGGAAGAATACCTTGGTTTTCTTTGATGACATTCTGATTTTCAGCAAGTCATATGAGGAGCACTTAAAACATGTTAGAGAAGTGCTGGTTTTGCTAAGAGCTGATCAATGGAAAATCAAAATGTCAAAGTGTGCTTTTGCTTAACAACAGATTGGTTATTTGGGGCATACCATAACTGCTCAAGGAGTTGCAACAGATCCTAGCAAAATCCAAACAGTAAAGCAATGGCCTACTCCAACTAATGTCAAGGAAGTCAGAGGTTTCCTTGGATTGAGTGGTTATTATAGGAAATTCATTCAACACTATGGAGTGATCAGCAAGCCCCTGACTGAACTGCTTAAGAAGGGAGTCCCATTTGTCTGGACTGAAATCACAGAAACAACTTTTGTAACGTTGAAGAAAACATTGATTGAAGCTCTAGTTCTAGCCCTCCCTCAATATAACAAACCTTTTGTTATAGAAACTAATGCATGTGAGTTAGGCATTGGAGATGTTCTAATGCAAGAAGGACACCCACTAGCTTATATCAGTAAAGCTTTAGGGCCCAAGAACAGAGCTCTTTCAGTTTATGAAAAGGAATATCTAGCTATCTTATTAGCTGTTGATCATTGGAGACCTTACTTGCAGTTCCAGCAATTCACTATTAGAACTGACCAGAAGAGCCTTGTACACTTGCAAAATCAAAAATTGCACACTGTTTGGCAGCAGAAAGCATTGACCAAGCTCATGGGCCTGAACTATAACATTGTGTACAAAAAGGGGGGTGGAAAACTCAACTGCAAATGCTCTTTCTAGAAGGCCTCATTCCTTTCAGTTATTTCACATTTCCAGATCCTATCTTGTGTGGTTGGAAGATATAGTAGCTAGTTATGCTGCAGATGACAAGACCATTGAACTGTTGCAAGCATTAGCTGTTAATCCCTCTGCTAAACCTAATTTCCAATTGATTCAAGGGTTGTTGAGATACAAAGGCTACATTTGGGTGGGGAACAGTGTGGAGCTGCATGACAAGATCTTCTCTACCTTCCATGATAGTCCTATTGGTGGTCATTCTGGGTTTCCTGTTACATATCACAGAATCCACTCCTTGTTTAGATGGACTGGTATGAAAAAGTTTATCAAGGACAAAGTGCAGTCCTGTCTAGTTTGTCAACAAGCTAAACCTGAGAGAGTAAAGTATCCAGGGCTGTTATCTCCCTTGCCGGTTCCAAACAAAGCATGGGAGACTGTCACTATGGATTTCATTACTGGGCTGCCGCATTCACATCAGTTTGATTGCATTTTGGTGGTCATAGATAAGTTTACCAAATATGGTCATTTCATGCCTCTAAAACATCCTTTCTCTGCACAGAAAGTGGCTGAAATATTCCTTGACAATGTTTATAAACTGCATGGAATGCCAGAGTACATTGTCTCAGACGGAGATCCTGTTTTTACAAGTAATTTTTGGCAAACCCTGACTCACATGACTGGCACACAACTGCATATGAGTTCTGCCTACC